CCATTGTCCAGATGGCAAAGCCAGCACGCTGGCTGCCATCATAGTTGCAGTGGGCATGAGCCAGCACGCTGGCTGCCATTGTCCCCTTACCAGCAGCCCAAATGCTCACGACGATGAGCTGGGCTGTCACCGCTTGGCCGCCGGTGGGGGGTTTGGGAGGCCGCGTCGCACACAGACACCCACACACTCCCTCAACTTCCACGAACACACACATACGCAGACTCGTTTCCACACGGACATAGACACACGCACAGAAACCCACACACTACCTCAACTCACTCGACTTCGTTTAGTTTCGTGTTTCGTTTCGCGTTTCGTTTCACGTTTCGTTTCGTTTCGTTTCGTTTCGCCAAATCAACTCCACTCCACCTATGTCGATAACCTAGATCATCGAACATCATGATGGGCACCTTTTATCTCTCCACTTTGGGCACGCTCTCCGCAACCGAGAATCTCCATGACCCGTTCACGTCACATGTTTCACATGTTCATGCCGTGTGGACATCTAGCTGAAGCCACTAAGCTACTAGCTACTAGCAGGAAACCTACGTAACACTTCACACCGCACACTTACCGGATAACTCGCACTCTGACTTCCTACATGATGAAAAATGCTTTCGGGCCACTCGTCGTCTAGTTTTTTGTAGCAAGAAGCTACTACGTAGGTTGGAGGCCATCGCTCTTAGGTTGGAGGCCGTCGAGCCCTAGGGTGGAGGCCATTGCAACTCTTCCGTTGAACCTGAGTGATCAAAGGAATATCAAGACGAGAGTGCAAACTGCTGTAAATCCAGGTCCTTCCCAAGCGGATTGACCCAACATCTCCCCCTTTTTTGCCTTCCAAGTCCATTGTAGAACATGGATAAAACTTGGTAAGATATGGTAAACATGGTAAACCAGGTTTTTGTTCGTTTAGTAGTCTAACAATATATTAGTAAAGGCCATTGAATCAATGGTGGCAGAAAATCCCAGGGACCAGCCGACTCAAGGACCAAAAAAACGACCATCATAGGTGACCATCTCCTAGAGGCGTCGATCGGTTCACATAGGTGCCTCACGGATAGGTGGTTCACAAAAAAAAACAGTGGATGGGATGAAGCAACTAGGCTGGGCAGCTTGCAAGACTTCGAAGCTTCATCAACTGTCACATTCACTGTGGAAACAAGTGTGAAAGCAGTGGAAGCAGGGACCTCATGTCAAAGAGTGTTTGCATGCGAAGACTTGAATCCCACCATGCCCACGAGGTCGAGCAAGAACTATCTTAGGAAGAGCAGTCCAACTTCTGCGAGGTCGAGGGTCGATCGAGAAAACCTCGACCACGCAGAAGTTGGAGTCTCTTCCAACGGTCTGCCCCTTCGAACCACTGGAAATGCAGCCGAAGCCACACGAGGATCACCGAGTGCCGTTGCTTCAGGCGATCAGCACAGGTCAGCCCTGCCAGCCTTGAAGGCCGAGCTCTGGGGTGGAACACCCCAAGAAGTTGTGTCTGTTGGTGCGCGGGTGGGTGTGTAAGTGTGGGACCGGGATTGTGTCTGGGTATGCGTGTATGTTGAATATAGCATTGTTCTTTTTCACATTTCATCCAAAAATCATGTCCAATAAGTGAAGCCAATTATCTGAGGTGCCTCCTACGCCCCACTCATCTCCTCATTCCTGGAGATCTGTGGAAGCTCCTAGTGGCAAGCCAAAACCACATGCAGCATCGTACAACATGGATTCCCGGCTTCTACAGAAACATATTTAACAACGTGTAAGAACAGTCTATACAGTGAAAGGTTACTATAAGGCCTTATACTTTGTGTTGTTAAACACATATAGCTTGGTTTTGGACTGACGATACTGGACTTCATCACCACCAGCACCCGGACTGCCTCGGGGTGATCATCTGTCCAGGCCTCCCCGAAATGCCGTATTACCGGCACGGCCGTGGACGTTGTCTTCGCTGAACCAAGAGGCGCAATGTAGATCAGGAGCGAAGAAGCTTCAGTACCTGCACCGTTTCGGGCGGTCCCGACCCGGGGCGGTGAGAGTAGGAGCGAGTGAGGCGGAAGGAGCGTCGCGCGAGCGAGTAATCAAGGAGCATTGGTGAGCTGCAAGGAGCTGAGCTTTTGGTGAAGAGTGTCTATCGTCAGGTCGGCCAGGTGCTTCAAAGTCACGTATGCCCTACTTTGGGGAGGGGTCAGGGCACCGGACCCTGGTTGACCACCAATCATGAACAGAATAGACGACCAAACATGGTCAAACTTACTAAACTGGCTCCAGATTTTGACCCAAAGCTAAGTGATGGTGGTGAGAGAGGTCTTTTGTGACCTGAATTTCAGGACCTAACACCTATAGTCTATATAGATAGTCTACTCTTGATGACCTTTTTGATGGGCAGCGTCCACAAAAAACATTCGATGTGACCGATCAAGAGCGATCAAGATGTGACCGATCGAGCTGCCTTCAGTTTGACCAAAGATACCTGGCAGTCCTGGGAGTCAAAGACTACCTTTAAAACAACGAATGGTCTTCTATATAGGGCACCTGAAAGGGCATGTATGGGCATGTGTCTTTACTAGGGGAAACGTATCGACTCCGGACTTCTAGCGAAAGGACATGTGGATTAGAATAGGGGGACCTTCTGGCCTAAGGGGTAGCCACGGGATCCAAAAGACTCGAAATGGCAGGGTCCCCTTGTGTGCCCTTTTGCAACACTGGCAGGGTTTACGACTGATGTGCACATCTGGCTGTGGGTCATGGTACCACAATACCTTGGTTCACTGGTTCATCTACCTGGAAGCTACATGGAGCAGAGCTCCTGGTAGGTCACGACCCATCCCCATCTCTCTTTGCGCTTCCTTGCTTCCCTCACCGGTCGCGCACGGAAGGCGAGTTGGTCCCGCCAGCAATCTTCATTGAGCGAATCTGGCGTTGAGGCCGCTCGGCGGTGCATGTGACAAGGTCGAAAAGTGCTAGTTCATTCAGTGAGGGTCTTGACTTTCGGATCTTGTTGGGTGGTAACCCGGACCCAGAGACCAACACAGGTTGAATAACCGCATAGACCAGCCCAGTTGGGTACCCTACTGGTAGAAGGGTCCTGCCTATAAAGGTTACTCAAACCTCTTGCGGGACCACTGGATGCAGAACCATTGATGCGTCCCTTGGAGGCCGTATATGAGTCCAAAGGAGCAGTGAGCTGTCCTCTTTTTCGTCGACAAAACGTCGCGGCGTCATGGCTATCTTCTTTCGGTCTCTGCGACGATCGTCGGGGTCGACGGCTTTGGAAAAGGCCAAGCCTGCCTGAGAGTCTCCAAACCAAGAATCTTGTCAGAGCAACTAAAGCGCTACCCATCGGCGTAACCAAGATGTTCCAACTCAGATTTGATCACCTGCCGTCATGCATCAACTAATTACCCCAGGACAGGAGTGCTTAGCAGCGACACGCGCGTGGGCCCCAGCTGCCTTCGCATTCGCAAATGCCCACGCCGCGCACACGGCCTCAAAACAAACTGCAGCCCCGGTTGAAGAATGAACTGAGCGATGTTTCTCCGTCGACAGTGGACAGTCCAGCGGGTGCAGCATTTGGGCGTGAGATTCTCAGGTGAAAAACACCTGGCCTATTGACCAACTTGAGAGAGGAGGGGGTGAACGAAAGGTAGCAGGCAATCACCAGTAACCCAGCAACCGTAACCGCTACCTTTCGTGAATTGACGAGAAGCCAGTCAGTGTTTTTCCTGGTCTTATTCCAATAGCACACTCATTTCTTCCAGTCGCTTCCAGTAGGGTGGGCTTTTCTTCCACTCAAAAGATCTCAACACCCACCGAACAGTGGCGTCTTCGCTGGAAAGCATCGGGTTTCGCTTCGTTGTGCCACCGGTCTTGGTCACCCCTCCTCCTTCGTTGCCACCGGTGGTCCGTCGGCTTCGTCCGTGCCGAGTCGCCGCAGCCCGGCACCAGGCGCAAGAGCAGCGCCCAAGCGACGCGTAGGGCTTGGACCAGCACCAGCAGCCTGAGAGCGGCGACCGCGGAGCAGACCGAAGGAAGGACGAAGAGCAGTAAGCCAGGGCTTAGATGGAATGAGGGGGAGCCCCTTTTTGGCAGAAAGAGACGCTGGTATATACAGGATCTGGTACCGCAATCGCCAATGGTGGAAGTGGACGAGCAAACAAAAGCCTCAAGCAGGCTTCCAGTGGACTACACCACTGAAACAACTCACCACGGACTTTTGATGTCTTTTGCTCAAACCCGATTTCACTCAGACCAATCTGTGACGGATATGCTCACCCAAACGCTCCCAACAACCCTTGGTCCCTCAGGCTCCGACCCCTCCATAGGTTCGGTCTATCGCCTCTGGGCACTGACGACCTGTACCCCCCTCACTTAGTGCGTTGAAAAGCGCTTCAGACCGAACCCCAAACGCAGCTCTTACCCCACGTCGACACCTCCATGAGACTAAAAAAAAATATGCATTTGTCACCACCCCATCGCCACGCCGTGTCTGCCAGTCCGATGTGGGTCGTGTACTGAGGTACCGAGCCACCGAGGCACCGGTCGAAAAACGTGCGTGAAAAACGCCGAGACGGACGCCGTGAAAGCTCTCGTTTCTAAAGGCATTTCATGCTTCGTTGGACCTCAGCATGATGATGGGACCTTTTGCGCGTGGCTTCAAACACTCAACGCAGTTCCAAAAACCATGCGGCTGAAATCCACGAAATCCGAAAAGCAATTTCGGAGCGTTTCAAGGTTCGTTGTAGTTTTCAGGGGGGTGACCTGAGGATGATCCAACTGGTGCGTGCTTTCGGGGTGTTTCACCCGTTTCACCTGTTTTTGTGGACTCTTGATTGATAACCCGATTTGGATCGAAAAACCTCTTCAGCGCAAAGGGTTCTTAATCAAACATCTTCGTCCATCGCCCCGCTTTTTGCGTCAGAGCAGCCAGTGAGAGAACTGCAGCGACTGCATGGCTGGGCTATGCCGTCATGGCCATCGCGATGCGGAAGACTAATGCAGATGGTCAATGGATGTCAACGGAAAACGGGTGGGAAATTGCCAAGGCTACCTGTCGAGCTAGCTTTATGATATGGCCAATGAGCGATGGGATCTGGTTGTCTCTGCGAATGGAGCATGATGTTTTCACTGACTCTTCTTGCAGAATAAGGCTGGTATGAATCCACCCTGTTGCTTGTAGCTGCAGCTGGTACTGGACTGACCCTGCATCACTTGTCATTTCTGACAGGATCCAAGGACTGTACATTCATACAACTCGCAGAAACTTACTTACTCAAAAAGAATAAACATCGCATTTGGATGAGAAGGATCATCAAATAGTTGTCTGATCAGTTGTGGCATTGTCTTCTGCAATGCTTAAAGCAGTTGCTCCAATGTCAGCATTATGGTCACCACTCTCCAAGACTCATGGTCCGGATGCCAAAAAACCGCCCGGTCTATATTTCGGTCTCGAAAAACAGTCGTTCTAGGTCTCGATGCTGCCTACATTGATCCCCCACACTGCATGCCGTGTCTGCCAGTCCCAGACAGCATCGTCGTGTCTGGGCGGAGAGAAGACCCGCCGTTCACTCGCCGTTCCGGGCCGTTTCTCGGCGCCGTCGTGGCAGTCGGGAATTGGTTCTGAGGGCACTCAAAATCCGACTCCCACGGTCCCGCACCGCGGTCCCTGCATGGAAAAGACCAACTGAACCGCCTCTTCCTGTTAGATCCTGGTTAGTGTGGAAACCTAGTTCCCTTTCAAAGGCGACCCAACCAGTTGATCCACTTTTCCAGGCTGGTACGTCCAGGCGGAGCACATCCAAATAAAACAACGTGCCCTAAGAGGCCGTGACCACCTTGGAACTGTCCGGGCTGGCAGGTCTCCACCACGGCAGAGGCGAGCGATGAGGCGAGCGATTCGGTCAAATCCAGGGGCTCCCGACTTGGGAAATCTGGAACATTTCCTGGAAAGCGGTGGGGCTTCCGAGTCCGGCCGGGGACTCACAGGTTCCGTTGGTGAAAAAGCGGTCCTGTTGGTGAAGATGAAGCAACTTGCAAGATATGTTTATGTCGTGCGTATGTGTATATAGATATTTATATAGATGTAGTATAGATGTATTAAACACACACACATGCTTTGTGAAATAGCTGGTCTTTCATGGCAATGACTCCTTTAATGTCGTTTTTTTAATGCATATGGCACCCGTCTTTTAATTTGGTGAACCAGTCTTGTTGTGAGTATGGTTGCGGCCGTTGAACAAAGAGTATTGGCTCATTTGTCTCAGCTGTTTGGTGATGACACCTAAGAAAAGATTGACATTCCCTGGAGCCATGAAAGTCATGGGGGAGTTAAATGAATAAACATAATACAATATATATTATATATACATTAAACTATTACACGTATATATCTAGTATCTATATATTGGTCATGTCTCACATGACATGAAAGCACCGGTGGTGTTCACCAGGTTGCAAATTCACATAGTAAATATGCAATTTCATGTAATGACATGGAAATAATATCAGGGACCAGCACCTTCATGGACCTCAGGAACCTCTATCTGGATCAGGACCTCAGTGATTTGGGTGGGCCTGTTTGTGACCTCGGGAATTCCTCCGGTGTGTAGAAGATAAAGGTCATCCTGGCAAAGCCTACTAAACTCAACCTCTCTTTCCACGTGTGGTCGCGGTGTTCATGACCGACTTCGAGAGGGGCCGACTCAACTCCGACTCAAAATGGCACCAGAAGACGGCTGTCATGGCACTAGAAGACCGTCCCGGTTGACCGACCAAGGACCTTGCATGGTGGTGTGCTGGTCTTTGGGCGACCTTGGTGGGTGAAGTGAAGCCATCCCCAAATCTTCCCAACTCACCACCATCACTGGACGCATCACCGGGAAGATTTGGAGTCTTCCCAAGTCTTCCTCTGTCACTTGGCATGGCCCATTGAGCCCCCTGCGTTGAGCACATTGGACCGTCTCAATCGGCTGAGCTCTTGAGTCGCCTGGGCCGCGGCCAGCGCAAGCGCTTGCGCTGGCCGCGAGCTTCTGGAGAAGGTTGAGTGACACCAAACTTGGCAATTAAAGGTGAGATGACAAGGAGAAATACATGACAAAGGAACAATCCAAACGTCGTTTATATGTTTGTCTTTTCCAAAGGACAAAACCCAACAAAGGCATAGACCTGGCCGAAAGCTGGACCCCATGCGTCCCCCGAATCTCCCTCCACCAAGTGTCTTTCGCGATGCGAACATCATTCCCTTAAATCCTAGATTGAAGGTGTAATCCCCACTAAAGCTTCCACAGTAAAGCCTTGTTGGTCAACAGGTGAACCCCTGTTTTGCAGGAAAGGCAATGACTCCAGCAGAGGTTGAAGAAACCTAGTTCGACTATCCTAGTTCGGTACCCCTGGTGACGGGTCCTATTTACGGTCACTGGATACCTCTGTTGACTGGAAGGAACCAATGGGTCCTCGGACTGGTCGGACTGGTCCAGCCCGAGGCACATAGCGGATGGCGGAGGCCGTGGCGGCGCGTTCCTGGCGGACGGAGTTGGGCGGCGTTGGGGCCATGGCCCATGGAGAGTTTGTTGAAGAAACACCTCTGAGTCCTGGGATCATGAAGTATACCCAGTGTGACCTGGAAAGGACCAGGTTTTACTGGCTCGGACTGTACTACTGTAGTTATACTGTGGCCAATTCAATAAGTGCATCAGCGGACCATGCCTACATATGCAGGGTTTGCCACGTGTCTTGCGGACGAAGGAGGTATGAAGGGCAAATCAACTGCCAGACTGAGACGGGCAAAGGGACAATGGCCAACATCATTAACCGGATAGCATTACTATATCATATATGTTGAATGATCTGAATTGACTTCATTCGATCTCTTCTCTCAAAAAGTAAAAATAAAAATAAACAAGAAACTATAGTTCCAAGATGTTCCAAGCACGCCTCGTCTCACCAGCCTTCACCCGCCTTCACCTGACACCATTCCTTCTCCTCACTTCATCTCTTCACCGGTTCAGTCGCTCTCCGACAGACCGTCGCACCGTCGCACCGTCTCCGACACGTCGTCGTGGCGCCTCTTCCGTGTCGTGGAGATCGAGTTGATACTCCGCGACCCGAGTCCAAAAGTCCTCCTCCTCGGACGTTGCCACGGCCGGCGCGAGCAGAGCGAGCAGAGGGTGGGACGGAGACGACGCAAAAAAAAGCGCTTCGGCTTCGGCGGATTTCGGTGTCGACATCATGAAGGTGGAAATGGACAAGGCAACCTATCGATTGATTGAAGATGATGATTTGCATGCAAATTGAAAGATACTACTGTAGTGCTTCATTTAAGTCACCTGGAAGAAACTTCAAAGTGAGAATATTCTGTTTTGTCTTCATCAGCGCACAGCAAGCCTTCCACAACTTTTTTGAGGTCTCTCACGTAGAACAAGAACAGTTCGCTCATGAGTGCTTACCAATCTTGCTCCTACCATGGTTCAAACTTTGTTTTGCAGGGGTGTACCTGCTCCTCAAGCCGGATTCCCTAGAGGTGACCACCGACTTGAAGCAAACATCATGTGCTTCAGTACATAGGGGTTATGTTCCTATCTGGGAGTGGCTCACGGACCCTTTTTCGGCGACCAGACCGGAGTCCAGCGACCTCATGACCGGGAGACCGAACCTCCACAACGTTCCGACACCCTGTTCGGGAACTAGACCAGTCTACCCAGCCAGGGCCAGGGTCCTCCTATTGAAATACACCTTTTTGAAAAACCTCTAGTGTGCCACGTGCGCTCAGAAACTCCCCGGAGGTGTGTCATGTGGCTGCCCCCTCTCCTCACGCTGGAGTTGCTCCTCCTGCTGCCGCTGGCGAGCCAGTTCTGCCTGAAAACATGCCAACGCGAGGGTCGATTCGGAAGCTTCACGAAAAAACAAAAGGGAGAAAGATGGTGGGCAACGGCCAACATGTGGCTCACAAACTAAGAGCCAGGGACCTCGGTTTTAGTGTTTTGACATTACCATCAAAATGGGCCAGAGCCATAGCCTCAAGATCCACACACACGAGTGGCGATCTTCATCAAACAACCTGGTTGATTGAAAACATTGAAAGCAAAACACATGTGTGTCCACTTGAACTTTCAGAAGCACCCGTCTTTTCATGGCCCTGACGTTTGGACGCATGTCTGCCCTCACAAGGTATGGTATGGAGCCTGGATCCGAAGATCCAACGTGTGGGGATGGGGATGAACTGAGCCACTCACCAGCAGCTCTTGCTCCTCCTTCTTGCATGCCTGGAACGACGTGTTGCTTCCGGGACTAGTCTAGTCACTAGTCCATCCCATCAGTTATATATAAGTATACCAGCACCCATTGGATCAGGTTGAAGGCATTTGGACATTCAAAAGTGGTGCTGGGTACACGAAAAACAACAAATTTAGTCTGGCATGCATGGTCTTTGTTGAAGAACTGTATTTGGTACAGCTCTCAACCCCTCTACCGTCTCAGAGCGTCTCGCTTCCCATGTCCTTGCCGCAAAGAGACACAGGTCCATCACGGTCCATCTGTGATAAGCAAGTCAACTCGCACAGGAAGGTGTCGCACCATCCACATGGGTTTGTATTTTAATAAAGGGGACCTCCCTGGCCCAATGGACTTCGTCCTCTTTTTTATCTTCTCGAGTTTCTAAAAGAAAAGAAGCATCAAGGATCTGGCCATTAGGGCCATTCTCTTCTCTTCAACAAACCATCGAGTCTGTTTCCGAGTGCCAACATGATCAGAACACCCATTGCCTTGCTGCATGGAGAAAGGTCCAAGGCCGGTGTCCTCCTTGCTTTGCGAAAAGCTCCACACTAGTCATCCCAGGCGCCACGCGCCACGCGCCACGTTCGGTGCCGAGACCGGATTGGAGAGACCAGTCCCAGAAATCGCACCGAGGATGGGCACCCCAAATGGCCTTTTCTTCAAAGCATCACAACATGGAACTCCACACGACCTCTCAGTTGGGGTGTGTATTCTTTTTTTCTAGGACCCTCCCTGGCCCTTCCTGGGTGGACAAATCTCTATGTTCCGAGCCTTCCAGGGGCGTCGAACTGGGAGGTCTCCCTATTGAAATATACATACCCATTTAGGATCATCAGCTCACCCAACAGGCGCCTCAAGTGCCGTCAGCAGTTCTTTCTCTTCCGATTCCAAGGCGCTGATCTCTGCCTGGATGGGACGAGCTGATGATCATTGGCCCCATGGCGGGGGGAGTGGCCCAAACGACGCATCGATCATCATCTGTCCAATGGTTTTGGACTCTGTGATTCTGTGGATGTGTTTCCCAAACCTCAGATCAGATCATCCATATTTCCATATGGAACGTGGGCAAGAACGAGCTTGGCATCAAGACTGAACGCCCGCCGGTTCGCTCCATTGATGGTAAGGTGTTGACCTGTTGAAAATGACGCTTCTGTTCACCGTTCGATCATAATGACAAGACCATATGGAGGAACAACCACAACGTATATGGACGTCCATGCCATCTTGACTTGATCCTGAAACCTCTCACAAAATCCGACACCACTGCAAGCACTTGTGCTTACTCATGTGTTGCTTTATTTTAAAGCCACCACCAGGTGACTTGCCTGCAAGTCTATTTGATGGACCAGCGGTTTGAATAACGCGGTGCCACTGCGCTACAATTAATTGAAGCCATCCGTGAGAGGAAGCGGGTTACACCGTCCCAAACCACTCTCAAGTGACCACAAGAAAGAAAGAAACTGGACTAGTTATTATATCATTTTGTCGCTCCAAAGGATGCACTCTTAGAGTCTTAGAGCTATGTCTTGCTATGCTACATATACACTCCACTCATCAGTCCTGTCCTTTTCCCAGCATCTCAGAGCGAAGACCCGGCCAGCCTCAATGGACTCCTGCGCAACAGTCGCTAGAAACGCGGAGGGCGGCCAGCAGCGGCTTCCCGCGCTTCGCGACGCCGGCGGAAAGGAAAAGAACGGTTCCAGTTGGATCGACTAGGCTGACGGATGAACCTGTAAGTACCTGGAGCCTGAGTGACCCCTGTTTTGGAGGATCAACTGAACAAAATATGGTCAAACTTCCTATCAAAACAGAGGTCAGTCAGGCTCTAAGTAGAAATTAGGGCTAAACTCATGTCAACTCTACGTACCAGGCCACAGGTGGTGAACCTGGGCACCGGACTTGTCACCAGGAAGCACCTGTTGGAGGGTGCTGGTATACAGCACTCAGAGTCGTTGGAAGCAGCACGCAAGAGTTGTTTCGGTCTAGACCAACCCTGAGTGCTGTTGGAACATCCTACTGATGAAACTTGAAACAGCACGCGTTTTGTTGGAAAGCGCATGTTGAAAGCTGCTCAATCCACGATCTGCCTGCTCGTTCAGCACAACGTGTGTGTGTGTGTGAGCAAAAGAAGTCCTCCAGTTGCCGTGGGATGGGAACTTGGCAGAATTGCTTCATGTTTCTTGTGTTCTGTCTAAAGTGCTATAACAACATACGTGTCTGGCCGTTTCTTCTTGTCCAACCAATTCACTTGGATGACTCTGGTCCAGTGTTTCTCCCTAGATCCAGGATCCAGCTGGGTGCTCCTCTCTCAAATCGTTTGGGCAATGTTCCAACTTCAACATCGCAACATGCATGATCCTTTGACTCTCGGAATCCCTTCCGCACACCACTGCTACACCACTGCTTTGCAAGGTACTATTGACTCTGAAACAAGGACTCCCTTACAACCGATGTGGGTGTGTAGCTAACTCGACAAACTGCAACCACCCGCTGTGGTTGCAGGTGAAGTTTACCCAGGGCGATCGGGCGTCCCCGCTCTGATGCATTGCTCCAGCTCTGTTTGGAACTTAGTTGGACAGTTGAACCATGTTGGACCGTCCTACAGTCTCCAGGTGGGCTGTTCTATGAACCCTATGACTGTGACTGTCACGCCCCGCTCGACTTCGGCCGCGGTCGGCTCCTCCTCCCCGCCGGACGTCGCTTCCTGCAAGCGCTGGCAGGCCTGAAGCCCCGCGCGGTCGGTAAACCGTGTGGGTTCGGCCCGCGGTGTGGATGGAGTTCGGCACCACATGCGGTGCAGCAAGGAACGAAGGCAATGCGTTTGCACAGCGCGTATTTACCACTTAGATGCACATATTCAAGCATAACATTAGATATAAAGTGCTGTCAACAGCGCAACATTCACCGATCCGAAAAAAGGAACAACCCCGTGGTGGAGGAAGGAGACGGTGTCGTCAATGTCGTGAGCGCAAGAAAAACCTGCTCCAATCCACATACTGTACTCGTCTACAGTGGTTTCAGAGTAGATGGCACAACTCCCTAACCCTCTATAGGCCCGACCTGATGTCTGGTGAGACGGTGAATTGCGGGAGATGCCCCCGAGGCTGAGACAGAATCCAATAGTTCAAGTCAATGGGAGTATTGATACTACAAGGAATTAGCCTTCATTGATGCACATTAAATGACCAAAGTCTGATACCCGACTTGTTGCATTCCAAAAGACACTCAAAAGGACCATTGATAGCATGCAGTAAATTAGCAGATATGGCCCGATATGGCAGTGAAGAGCCGACAAATGATCTTCTATGATCTTCTCATCCACCTGTATGCCATGTCTTCACAGCCATGTCTTCACAGTTCTGCACTGTTCAGACACTGCACCCAGTAGGTCATTCAACATTCACTTCCCCAAACGAATGTTGTGTGGCAAAGAAAAAAGAAGAGCAACAAACAAAGATCCCATGGTATTCACACCATTGCTTCAGCCCTTCAGGTGCCCAAAGTCTATCAAGTTCCCATCCCATGCCATAGCCCGAGTGCCCGCTGCAGCGCGCCACCTCGTGATAGGTGCGATTCTCCTCTGCAGCCTGTGGACCGCACCGGATCATGTCGACACGCTGCGTCTGCTGCGGGTTCCCTCTCTGACATGTCGTTTCTCTCCACAACGCTCCGGACATGTGGCGCCGGGTCGAGGCGTCGTGACGAAGCCGCGAGAGGCCCAGAGAGCCAGATCGAAGCAACTTCGAGACAGAGGACGGATGTTGACCCCACAGTTGCCTAGAACCTTCGGTTTTGGAGGACAGGATGGACAGGCTTGAAGAAGGCACTGATTGGTTGAAAAAGAAAGAGCCCTACACTGACATGGGCTTTGTATGGCTTGGTATTTGAATAGGGAAACCCATCCACCAATGGGTTGTGGTCTATTTTCCTTCTTCAGGGTCAAAGAAGGGTCCCTCTTCTATTAATTACACACCGACATCTTTTCTTTGGGACTTCGCCAGTCGCCTTCCGGGCTCTCAGAGCCGCGCCCCTTTTTCGAGTGGCGCCGCTGGAGTCGCGTGGCGTGCTGAGCCGACGGAACGGCGGTTCTCAGGCGGAAGGGAGATGGCTCTCGGAGGAATCTATAGCCCATACCCTGGCCTTCCAAGACCGAAACTGGTTCAGCTGGTCTGACGTAGTTAATGTGAAACCCAGTCAAACAAATGGTTTTTCGGGATGACCAGGCTCTTAAATCAATGGTGGTTCCAATCCTAGGGCATAGACGGCATAGCTTTGAGAGTTTTCACACCTTGCTTTCCGAATGTTCCCCTAAAGCAACTCATGGGAAACTGGACACGATCTATATAACCGCCAGCCCTATTATACCTAGATCTTCCAACTGTGCAAAATGTATGCCTTTTGGCTGACTTAATGGATGAAAAGGCATCAATTCTGCACAGTTGGAAGATCCAGGTATAAATTAGCAGCCCGTGGTTCTGTAGATTCTATGAACATCAAAATAATCAATCCAGCTGGACCAGGACCTTCAGTACACTCTTTCAAAAACCCAGTGGCTGAGGTTAGTTACGTATCGTCCCGAGACAGAGGTCACTTCGACAGAGACTCTTGTACAAGAGGTCACATACTCTTCAGGTCGGAGCCATTGATGCGATTCGTTTCATTGGATGAAGGTCTTCGATTCATCTGTTGGGCGCCAGACCTGGGATGAAGGTTTCGTGTGAAAGCCCACCGCCATCCCCGTTCCACGGGTGAAGTCGGACATGGCGGTCTGGGCCCTACTCCCCGACTCCGTTCGTGAGACCCCAGAGTGCGCACACGCAGTTCACACGATAGATTCCTCATGATTCCATCCTAAGGAGTGATAGAAACATATATTACCTGGACCCTCCTGTCGGGGTGTCCAATGGACTACCCCACACTACCTATAGGCTTCCAGACAGGGCACCCCGACAGGAGGGTCCTGGTAGAAACCTGTCTCCTGCCGAGTTGGAGACGTCTTCTTCCCATCCGAAGGACCTGAGGTCACCGTCCGAGCCACCGAGTTCGACCGCCGTTTGGTGGTCTAAAAACCGCCGAGTTCCACGTGAACTTTACGGCTGTCTGCATCGGTGGAAGGTACAAACAAATACAAAGAATTTAGTGAAGGATATAGTGAAGCGATACAGAAAACCAGTAGTGTCCAACAGAACAGTCCACGATTGTGAATAAACAACCATGGTGATGGGAAGCCTCAAGTTGTATTCTTATCCAGTCCTTCAGCGTCCCTGCCTTGCTATCCAAATTTTCTTTGTTTGTTGGAGCGACTCATGAGTTGCTTCATCTCCGAGTTGGACATAAACAAGTGTCTGTATCCTAATCGACGTAATGACTCGAATGATTCCAAACAAAGTATGGGCCACCCGAAAAGGAAAACACCCAACCTTCTCCAGTTGATTCGAAGAAAAGCTGCACCACCCATCATGAGCTTTCTCTAGCCATTCCTAGCCTCTCCACACTTCTTCCAGTCGGCCGCAGCACTCCAGTGCTCTTACAGTACATCTCGCGGAAAAAACACATGGATGGAGCCTGCCGCCCCGAACGCTGCGCTGCGCCGGTGCGTCACACGATGTACGGACACCTCATCCGATGTACGTCCTCGGCCGATTTCTCGCGCGTGGCGCGTGGCGCCGCGTGGCGACCGAAGCTCGTAGGGCTTTGACCCGCTCGTAGGGCTCGCATGGTTTTGCAACTCGAACAATATAATAACAATGTAACTTGGGTCTATCCTATTACCTGTAACAGTGGAGAGTATGATGGTTAGTAAAGGTCTTGTCCAAAAGTATAGTCATATTTTATAACAGTAATAATATATAATTGTTTACTGACTGTTACAGGTAATAGGACAAACCCTAAATATAACAGTTGCAGATGGTTTCAGGGTCCATGCGCCTCTAGGATATCTCTTCGATCTTTTTGGCTGGTCTTGTTCAGAGCGACCAAGCCCGAATACGTGAGGGAGATGAACGGATCAGTCCGTGAGAGGAGCCACATCGCCCCGAGTCGAAATCTTGCCATGTCGGGTTCCCAATAGATTCAGAATCCTCTTTGCTATAGAGCGTTTGAAAATCGGTTGGTTTTGGTTTCTTGCGTTTCTATAACAATTATTCAAAGAACAACTCACCAGACCCTACCGGCATACACCACGACTAAGAGGATGACTTTGTGATGCATAAAAAACCGCAGCTAGGATCAGCTAGGTCGTATATGGATGTATATGGTGTATGGTATCAAAGTATTGCAATTTCAGACATCTGTCACAGAACAGTTGATCCATGTTGATCCTGCTTGCAGCCCTAGATCCGAAGAGTCCAACGAACCCGAAGAGTCATCCAACAAAAGCCATGGCCCGTTTAAATCTGTTTAGCATGGCCTGTCCCTTTCGTTTAGGAACGATGCTCACAATAAGCGAATTCCACCTTGACTGTGTCCCGCCAGCGGTTTTCGAGAGTGACTATGGCATATTTACCTATGTTCACCCCTTTTCAACCTTCCCAATGTATGTAAACATTGCAGTCCCATGGGTCGCGTCTGTTTTTCGCGAGTTCGGCGATGCTTTTTGGCCCGAGCTTCTCCAGGAGGATTCCGCACAAAAGCCCAACGAAGAAAAGAGCCTGGCATTTCTGGGAAGATCGGCGTGGAACAGCGTGGAGAATAAAGTGAAGCTTCCAGAGGTTGAAGGACCCTATATAGACATCTATAGACTATCCCACTAGACTGTCCCATACCAACTTGAATGGCTGTGGCCAGCAAAATGCGCGAAAAAACCAGAGCGGGATCGAGCGGGTGTGCTTCAGTCAGGGTGGAAGACCGTGCTCCGCGGGGGGAAGATGTTCACGACTGGCCCGGGAAGGTTCTTTTGAAGCCGTCTGGAATGAAACATGGATCATCATGGATCGCGGCGGTGACGGACGTTTAGACATCATATGAATATTCCCTAGGGCTCCAACCACCTTCTCAGAAGGTAGTTAGACCCCTCTGGCACTCACCCCTGGCCCACCTTCGAAACGGAGGTGGGCCAGGAGCCGGGATTGATGGACCCAGACTTGATTGATCTTGGCTCACTCCCCCAGACCACGGCCCGTCTCTTCCACAGAAAAACCACTGTCTGCCCACATCACATCCACATGGGAGCTGGGCGGAGCTGGGTGTCCCAAACGTTAATCAATGGTGAGCCGTTGGCCACCTCCTGGGCTTCCGTCAGCAGCTCCTGGGCCACCGTCTCTGTGGCGTGCTTGTCGCGACGACGAAGACTGGACGAACAGTGGCAGGTCACGGGTGGCGGTCACGGCAAACTGATGGATTCCACAGCCCCATGGGGCTTCCCCCGCCACTCCCTAGAACATGTCTGAAGCACCACAGCACCCTCCACCCTGCCGCTTCTTGCATGTCTGAGCCCGGCCCTTCGAGATTGTCATGTGATGTGGACCTGTGATGGAGGACCGAGGAGGACCAAACAGGCGACCGCCTTTCAGGGGGTCGATAGCGTCTTGATTCACACTTCAATTCATAGAGCAGCCCATACTTAACGGCAGAAGTGCCAAAAGAGCGGTGTGTGATTCACATTCAATTCATCAGGATCTGAGTGAATTTCTCCGCAATGTCTTCAGCTGGGGTCTGTACTGAGACAGGCGCCACTGAAGAAGCCAGTGACTGATCAACAACCTTTTGGATGATGATGATGATGATGATGATGGTGGTTTAAACTTTTATTAGTCAAGGAGTAGGTCATTCCCAAGAGGGTTGAAAAGTATCAACACCTGGCCTTACCATTACCGTAAGAGCCCCTAGTGTTATCACACTCTTTGGGGAAGAAGTACATGAAAGCACAGCTATACTTATAGCTCATAGCATCCTTTATCACGCCAATAGGTCCTGGGTCACCAGGAAGAGCAGTGCAACGATGGAGAAGCTGATGAAGCCCTCAGTGAGGGGCGATATCACCCAGGTGACATACGCAAACAAAGAGACGGTCCACCTAGTAGGAATCGCCATTCACGTTCAGAATCTGTTCGTTTCACAGATGTCCATCATGGCGCATGTTCTCCTTGGTCTTTAGCACCTTTGCAAGTACCTGGAGCAAGGAACGTCCTTTGTTGCCGGTCGTCGATTCCCCTGTTCACGGCCATTTCAGATCAACCACAAGAAGCCAATGCAGTATTACCAAAACAAAGAACTGGAAGTCTCATTGCAATCTGCTGCTTTCTTTCACAAAAGAACCAAAAGCCAAAAGTTTGTGAAGATTCCATCGCTGCAGAATCCCACAAAACAACATACACACCAAATTCACCTAAATTTAAAATGGTGTCGTTTAAGCAAACAGCCCAACTTCACTTGGTTGCGATTTGCGCTCGTTTTGCTGATGTTCATTTTGGGTGCAAAAAGCACTCTCCCGGTGGCATCAGTTCTACAACCATCCTGAAGCAAATAGAATATGAACCAATCCAAACACATGACACAAAATCTTGATAAATCGTGGTGTCTGCTTTTTCCCATCCATCTACTCCAGGATGACTCAGGATTGCTCTAACATCGACTTGGGGAAGACTCCAATCCTCCGACAGAACAAGCTTCCTCCTCCACTCCACTAAGGGCCATTTGAGATGCGAGGCACCACGAAGGTCCCTGGCTGTTCGGCGAACAGGAAGCCCAGCCTCCGCGGAGCGGGCTTTGTGCTGTCATGGAGCGGGTTGGATGGCTTGGCATCCCCATGTCTGACTTGCAAAATGGTGGGCCTTTCCATATCAAAAGTGCCCTGGCTCTGCAATTTGTGAGGTGGCGGGCAGTGGGGGCAGTGGGGGCAGTGGGGCAGTGGCTCAAAACTGGTGCTTCGATGAGAGAGTGACACATCTGGAGTGTTTCCAAACTTCAATTGAGCACGACTATGATGTGTTACTCAATGACTATACGAAGTCATGCTATCGATGACTATACTCAATGACTATACTATGATGTGTCTCTCCGTATAGTCGTACTAATTAGAGCACGACTATACGGAGAGGAGTTTGCAGGAGAGATTGTTCCGGCTCAGGAGTGCTGCGGGCAGTCGGGCATTCGGCCCTCTCCACCGGACAGGCCGGATCGGTAAGGCCAGATGGGTAGGACTCACTGTGCACTGACTGTGCATGTCTTCACTCATCTCTTCAGCTCGTTCCAGTAACAACCCTCGCTGTTCCTTGGCCACGGACCCGAATCGACCACCTCGACCATCTTCTGCCGCCCCATCTTCAATGTCAAGGGGCGTGTTCCCTCCGAGACCCGAGAGAAGCAAGATGAAGGGCGGCAGAAAGGCCAGGAAGACGATCTTGAACGCCTTCGGCTTCGACGGCTTCGGACGAAGGGAGTGACGCTCCGTCTGGTGAATGGAGGATGCCCAAGTCGTACTGCTCGGTCCGGTCCTCCGACACGGCACCGGTTCACCTTAAAAGGATGGAGCTCTCACGTCAAGACGGACCATCGCTGGGTGAATGGAGTCACTGAACCAAGGGGGAGGAGCTTCATGACACCTGCGATTCATGGATTCATTGGATGATGTGGATGTGGATGACACCTGCTCCCACGGGGTCGGGTTCTATCCCCAGTCTACCCGACCTCTTCGTCTACCCCCTCAGACGGCACTCCGCAGCCACTGCGCGGGTGGTTGGATCAGGGTCCTGGTGGGTCCTCGGGCTCCCCGCCGATCGGGTGGCGTTCTGCAAGGAGGCGGTGAAGGAGAGGCCCAGGAAGCCCATTTCCTTTGGTGTTCCATCCAGCCCGGTCCACCGGACGGGTGGGGGAGGTTCCGTTGTGGGGATGGCGGGTTTGGGTGAAAGGCCGCGAAGATCGGAGACTGGATCAAATGTGAACTCTGTGAATTTGTAGGGCTCCCTCTCCCACATCCTCAGGTTAGGTGGGCCAGGGGTGGGTGCCAAGGGGTGTCTAACAGTCTAACCACCAAACCTGAGGAGATGGAAAAGGAGTCTATTAAGTCAAAAGAGACTGGCTCCAAATCACACGGCTGGGTCCTCAAAAAGAAGCAAGAAACATCAATGGGACTGACATGGACTTCGGGAAACTAGATGCTCATAGACAAGGATCTGGTCTGTGTATGTTTGTGTCTTTTCAGGGTGCCAGGATGGCGTGGATTTCGGGCCAACAAAAACAACAGGGAGTTTCAAGGATGGGCACCTGTGCCTGCTGTTCGCAAGCGGATTGGAGTTTCTAAGGGGTGCTGGGAGTAGTGGCACCTTGGAGGCAGACTCCATGTCCATGGCACCTCAAGGCTGATTCTTCTTGATTGATGATACTAGATGGTACTAGAGCCATGTGTGGAATATTTCCCATCGAATTGCTCCTCCTCTCCATTCATCCACTCCATCCACGCCCCGGTGGGCTAGCCCGTCGCGGGACCTCGCCGACCGGCTGGCGCGACCAGGCGCGGCAAACGCTGACGCTCCTTTTTTCGGGCCTCAAGTTGAACCCCAGCATGTCACCTGAGTCGCAGTGCCAAAGCTCGGACAAGAGTCGACTCTCTCCGAATCGGTCTGGGTTGTATTAGGGCGGGGAGGGTCTCTCCATTTGCGCCAAATCTGCCAAAAACTACGGCTGCCCAGACAATCTTTGGACCTGAACACCTGCGAACAGGGGTCCGGACCCATCTTCGAAAGGGTGGGGCCCTCAAAACCCTTACTTGTAGATTTGAGGGTCCAGATTTTGTTGGGGATAAATCAAATCCAAGGGACCAAGGGTCGCTGCAGCGAGCTAAGCTGTTGGACCAGCAGCTCGGAGCGAGCCGCTTTAGAGGCCCTTGGGGATGAAGTCGCCGACCGTCGACCTGGAAGCAGAATCGGGGTGAAAACGTGGGCGTTGACAGGGGGAAGCCACGGGGGAGGTCCAGCCCTCAAGGTTCCGGAAGACACGGGGGGGATCAGATGGGATATACCTTTATGCTGTAAAAATAGGTTCGTTGGCCCAAGAGAATAATGTAGCTTATAGGATCTGCATTCATCGACAGCACCCGCTTGGATTGAAAAACCATGAAGTAATTAAACCTATCTCTTCGTATGCGGGTTTTGATGAATCAAGATCCTACATCAAGCTGTTATATGCTGTTATTTTTGCATGACAGACTTTGGGATCCTCAGAGGTGACCTCCAACTCCGGCCAAAGAGAACCCGGCATCCATGGAAGCCAATGAGAGGTGAACCGCACTAACCAACGGTGCGGTTCAAGACCTCACTAGGATTCATAGCCCGGACCGGGAGACTCTATTAAGGTCCAACATGGTCCAACGGAGTTCCAAACAGGGCTGGGGGAAGCCATGCATCAGAGCTGGATGTGTTTTTGTCATAGGGGGACACTGGCGGGGTCTATTGTCCGAATTCAAACCAGGGGGTTGTTGCCGGGGAATTCTCTCTATTTGAGCTACACATCCATGTGCACCCCAGACGCATGACGGCTACATGCCCTCGAACTGTAGGGCCGCTAACGGTGCATTTCGACTCTTGTATAAATCATAGAGAGAGAGAGGGGTTGAGAGACCTTATAGGACCCTGTAGTGGTACATATGGGATGGGCTATAGGGCTGCTCAACCTCTCTAGGCAGAGAGAGAGAGAGAGAGATCCCCCCCCAATAAGCGGGTGGTTCAGTCCACTTCCCTTTGAACCTGAGGTCGCGCCCGAGCGTTTGGTTCATGCTTTCTGTTCATGCATTTGTTCCGTCCCGTTCCATCCGGCCACCGGCCATCGGCTTCGTTCCCATCATAGACCATCCCGGACCATCCGTCGGTCCCAGGTGCTGGAACTCCTCCTGCGTGTAGGTGGGCAAAAGGGAAGGTCCCTGACCTGACCGAGTTGGACCGTGGAAAAATGGATGACGAGCGAGCGATAGACCACGAGCGAGGTTCACCTCGAGTCGAGCGAGACGCGGGAGGATCTGGGCACCCCAGGTGTTTGAAACCCTTTTGGTTTGAGGTCCCTAGAGGGCACGGCATCGGGGCATGTGGACCACGAAAGCATTCAAACACCTCTCTTCAGTTGTCCTGCGAATGATCTCCTCTCTGTCCACAATTCCATCTCCACCCCCGACCGGGAAAAACGCTGCGAAGAATTCCAGGACGCTTCGGTGGTCAGTCCGTCTTGCTGCTTCATGGTGAACTTGAAACGAGAAACACGTCCGACATCCCGGTTGGATCTTGTTCAGAACAGTTGTCCCTATCGTTGGATCATGATGAATAGTCCGAATAGACATGGATGCAACTTGTTTGATCCCCCAAACAGTCCAGTCTGACCCAGTAAAACCGATGTTTTTTATCTGTTGCATGACCAACTCCAGTAACATGAGCTCAATTGACTATAGGATTTATTTATATAGTCAGTATATAACTATATTGCTTGGATGGGCTGAGTTCATACACACTGGAATCATATGGAATCAAAATCCTCAAAGCAAACGGCATGAATGGGGTTGAAAAACCATCCCTCAGTTGTTCCAATCAGCAACCAAATTCAAAGAACAAACCAGCCCCCGTCAAGCTTGATCATTTGGGTCGCTATGGATTCAGCCGGATTCAGCCCTTCGAACTGGGTCTGCCTGTGGAGGCGTTGGTGAGCACCATGAAGAAGAAGCCCACCATGGCCAGTCGGCAATGCTTGATCTCCCTCAAGCGCATGTTGTTCCACTCCTGACACATCTGAGAAGGGAAGGAGTTGAAGGGGGAGGGACCAGGGAGGGGAGTTTAGAAGCCCTAGGGCGACTTCACCATCTCCTCAGGTTCGGTGGTTAGACCCCCCTGGCACCCACCCCAACCATCTTCTCAGGAGGTGGGCCAGGAGCCCTAGGGAAGGATGTGCAAGGAGAGCTCCTGACTCTTTGTGTTCCTGCCCCTCACAACATGAAGAGGGCTCCAACCCCAGAGTCACCCGATGGATTGCGGTTCCACGGTGACGTCGGCACCACGGTTCTTCCACGGTTCTTCCGGATGGATCAACAGACGCCGTTCACCGCGTCTGACGCGGTGACGCGGGGTTCGCGTGACGAGGACACCCACCGGCTGGGTCCACGTGACGTAGCATGGTGGGTCCGCTGGAGCACCCGACGGGATGTTTGTGATCCACCCATGGATGTCCAAAGCATTTGAGCTAAAACCACCAGCCTGGCCTCAAGCTATTTTATACCAGCTGCTCCCTTTCGGGGTCACCTGGCTGGATATCTCCACACTATATATACTTACAGGTCTCCACTTACAGGTCTCCACCCCGACAGGAAGCGCCAGGTACGTAGAACTAAGGTCTTTGAGGGCGACCAGGTCGGTTTTTTTCCATCGGATCCGGCGAACGACCCGAGGTCGATGAACGATCCTACGAACGACCGGGTGAGGTGGTGAAGGGAAAGGAACGACCAAAAGCAGAAGCAAAACACCTTGCGACTGCCAGGACCTTCAGTACGTGACCTCTTTGGAGTCTCTAAGTGACCTCATTCTAGGATCTCAAGGACGGTCACTTTGAAGGTCCTGGTGGGGTGTCTCTCTATTCAAATTCAACACCAAATGAGGAGAGTTTTCTCTGGATCCCGGTTGCTCGCCGCACGGCTTGGAATGTTACACTCCCCTCCCATGTTTGCATGGAAGTGGAGTTCCCCCCCTGTTTGTAGAGGATTTCATGGTCTTCCTTACGGGACCATGTCATCCACTTCCATGATTGTTTCAAGGAGTGTAAATAGGTTCGCGCTTCAAAACCAAGTGCACCACTCTCAAACCAGAGCCAATCTAGCAAGGTGAAAACAGCTGAGAGAAGTCGTGCGTCGTGTATCTGCATTGGCAATTCTCTATGGCCTTTGTTATGCCTTGTTGTTTCTTTCGTTGCTGAAACACCATCCTCATCGTTCCAACCACTGGGCACCATCTCGTTCGTTCTATCCACTCCGAAAAAACACCGTTCGGTCCATCGAGGAAACGGCCCGTTGGAGAAAAAGAAAGGAAGAAACGGTCGTCCTCTTGAGTGTAGTTGGCGGAGAAGGTGGGTCCGAACCACCTGAGTGAGGGATTCCATGGCCGCCGTGTCTGACTGGGCCCCTTCTGGGCCCCCTGGGGCGCTCTTGGCCTGGCGGTTGACCTCTCATAAGCTGAACTGACTTGGGGCCCCCTAGTGACTGACGGCCCCCCAGGACGACTCCCGGACGACGGCCTTTGGGAAGAGTCCGTTCTCCCTTTGGTTCTGAAACGACCCCGACCTTGCATCGAATGAAGGACCCATGGTGATCCATGAATTCCAGACCAAATGAATGAAAAGAGATCAGACAAGTATCCCAAACACGACTAATGGGACTGCCATATATGCCTACATTAGGGTGGTTTTGGGGGTCAATGTAGGCATATATGGCATACATGGAGTGTCAGTGTCTGGGTATGACATGACAGAATGAATTCCAGGACGATTCAGGCCCCCAAAAAAGTAGTGAGCTGAGGTGTCCATTGTGCAGGTTTGGAGAAAACATGGCCACATCTGAAATTGAATCGATCAGAAGAAAGTCGACCAAAAACACTCAGTTCAACAGGTTTTTGACTTCCATCCAACAAGCCAGTTGATGTCTTAACATGCAAAAAAGGGGCATGCAAACATACCACTTCAAACAACCAACGACTCGCAGGCCCTGGGATCCAAGATACGGAGAAAGAAAACAGGAGGTTTGTATCCCAGACAAGACCCTGGGCCCGAAGCAACAGCTGTACATGTTTTCTCTTCGGTCCAGGTTGCC